ATTGCTGGAACCACAGAGATATGGGGATTTTACTAGGTAGAGGGAAACCAGAGCATACAGGCTCACACTTTTTATTTCTTTTACTGGTTGAAATTTATAATAGGTTCCACATCATAGTTTTGAAACTGTGGCTTGCCTCCACCCATATCATTTGCACAGAACATTGCATCAACCTCCTCCCCTCTATTCTTTCTCCCACTGGGATGACTTCAGTCTGTTTTTCATCAAAAATTGGACTCTCTTTCAAGGACATGAGAAAAAACATTTTCTAAAAGTAGCAATTACAAGTTTAATATAGGCATCTTATTTGTACCACCAAACCAGCTTGTATATTTTGTTTAGGACTTCTTTTGGGGAGGGGGAGTATCAGGACTCAGAAAAATAATCAGCTCACTCCGCCTAAAAAATAAATCAGGTTACGTATTGCCAACCCCATAGCGTTTTCATTGACTCCTCCTCTTGCACTTTTCCTTTTTTTGAATCTGCGGTATTTTTGACAAACAATGTGTTAGGTGCAACCTGTAATTACTTAAGAAAGTAGACAGGAAAAAGGGTGACTGTGCTCTCAGCAGTTCCTCTCTTAGAGAGTTGCAATGAGAAATTACTCTGAGAAATACTTTCTGAAAGATCTAAAATATATGGTAGTTCCAATGGGGATATTTGGCTTTGATCCTATTATGTCAAAGACTTATGGATTTTAAAGAGGAATAATAGCCAATGAAAAGCATTCACTTTTTTAAACATCTCTTTTCTCCTGATACTGCCAAAAGCAATTTAGCAGTATGTCTGCAAAGCAAACTGCCTGAAAGGTGGGGTACAAAAGATATCTCCTCATTAGCGTAGTGTCTTAAAGAATTTTTAATGTCTGTGTATTCTGAATGTTTTCTGACAGTGGCTTTTTCCTAGTTGGAGGTGATTGTTCAACCTGCCAGCATTGTATAGGACGTGACTTAGAAGGACTCAGGCTTTTAAAGCCATTAAGTTGCCTACCCCAGTCTTTGAATTAGGAAGAGGAATTGCAGACCAAATGACATGTGTAAGACGTTTTGTTTTTTGTTCCAGAAATATAGCAGATCTTCAGGAATGCGCTAAATAGGCATAGACTTGCTAAGGATGGAAAGAGTGTGATCAGGTACACAGAACAACTTGTAAAATAGTTGAGGTATGAAGCATTTCAAAGTTCTTTGAGATTTTCTGGTGGCTATTAAGCAGTAGATAATGTGAAAGGCGGAAGTATTAGAAATTTGATATTCAGGTCCATGAACTTTCCTGTGGTGGTTAAGAAATGATGATAAGCTGATCTTACTACTTTTTCTCAGATTCTGAACCACCAGTTTTGAAAATTGACTCTGGAAGCCTGAAACGAGATATAATTGCTCTTACAATTGGGAGTATTTTAGAACAATCAGTGTAATACACCATCAGAAAGACATGTGCTGGCCACAAGAATACTAAATAAGAATGTTATAATTGATGGTAAAGATATTGCAAACTAGACAGGGCAAGAAACCATGACCAACATGTGCTTTCTAGGGCATGGGAAGGGATACCTAATACACATTCCTTAGGCAAGCAAAACTTCAGGCTGATTTCTTTTTGGATTTCTTTTACGTGTGCCCCTCCCTTCAACAAAACAAAGCTTCACACACTTACTTTACTTTTAACCTATCTTTAGAATGTCTGAAATACCTGTATTCAAACAAATTTTAGAAATTTGAAAAGAGAACTGGCTTTGAAGTCAGAAGGACCAGTGTTCAAATTCTTCCTTGGACTTTTTTTTCTTTTTTATTGTGACCAACACAGTTAAAAAAATTTTTTTTATATTTTATTTTTTCCCCAATTACATGTAAAAACAATTTTGACATTTTTTAAAGTTTTGAGTTCCAAATTCTATCCCTCCCCTCCCCCTCTTTGAGATGGTAAGCAATCTTATATAGATTATATATGTGCAATCATGTAAAACATTTCCATATTATTTTGTACAAGAAGACTCGAACAAAAAAAAGAAATTGTAAAATAGTATGCTTCAGTCTGTATTCAGACATCAGTTCTTTGTCTGGAAGTGGATAGCATTTTTTATCTTAAGTCCCTTGGGATTGTCTTGGATCATTGTATTGCTGAGAATAGCTAAGTCCTTCATAGTTGATTGTTGTACAGTGTTGCTGTTATTGTGTACAATGTTCTCCTGGCTTCACTTTGTATCAGTTCATTTAAGTCCAGGTTTTTCTGAAACCATCCTGCTTGTCATTTCTTTCTCTCACACACACACACATGCACACACACACACACACACACACACACGTATATATGTATATATATATGTATATAGATATTTTATTACAATCATATACCATAGCTTGTTCAGTCATTCCCCAATTAATGGATATCCCCTCAATTTCCAGTTCTTAGCCACCACAAAGAAAAGCTGATATAAATATTTTTGTACAAATAGATTCTTTTCCTTTTTTTTTTTTAATATCTTTGGAATACAGACCTTGTAGTGATGTTGCTGGATCAAAGGCTATACGCAGTTTCATACCCCTTTGGACATAGTTCCAAATTGCTCTCCAGAATGATTAGATCAGTTCACAACTCCACCAACAGTTCATTAGTGTCCTAGTTTTCCCACATCCCCTCCAACATTTATCATTTTCCTTTTTTGTCACATTAGCCTTACTGGACTTTCAACCCTGATCAAGTCACTTAACCTCCCTGAGCCTCAGTTTCTTCAACTGTAAAATGAGGGGGTCAGACTAGATGGTGAGATCTTTTCTAGCTTTAGATCTGTGATTCTGTGCTAGCACTTTATAGGAACTGGTGTATATAGCCATGTATCGCACCTACTTGTTTCCTGCATGGTAAGAGTATTTGTAATTGTGAGCCCTAAGCAAGGAGTTAGAGTAGGGGGTAAGCTTCTCATAAGAGGTAAAATGTTAAGCAGTTAGAACTCATATAAAACCTGGTAGGTAGGTGCTAATATAGGACTATTTGGTAGAGTGATTAGTTTTATTATATGTCCCTAATCATTAATTTTTAAGGAAAGTGAATGACTAAGACCTAATTACCAAAAGAGTTTTCATGACATATTTGGCAGGAGGGAGAAATCCTTCTAAAGAATGTAATTGAAGAGTAGTAGTGAACTAGAAACCAGGACCAAAGTGATTTTGTAATGTTGTAATTTGAGAGCTATAGCTCTCATTGGACTTCCAATTCCAAAGGCTTTTAGAAAAGAATTTTTCCCTCCTCTAGATAACTTAAGGCATTATGAACTTGAAACATGGCTGTACAGTCTAGTGGTCACTGGACTAAGAACGAGAAGATGTGGGTTTGATTTTTAGGTGTTCCATCTATTTATGGTGAACTTCAGATATCTAATTCATAAATGGAGAGAAAAATCTTTTCTCCATGGCCTTACTTTTTATAGAGATAATGGGAAGAGAGATTGAGATGTTTCTTCAGTGCTTTGAATTTGTTAGAGACGTGTATCAAAAATCATAATTATGATTTTTGTAGCACACTAAGTCTTCACACTATTATTCACCCCCCATCCCCCCCAACAAAATACTGCATCTGTCTGGCCTGGAAAAAGCCTAAATACCAGTTTTGAAGCAGTGGGTGGAATGCAGAAATTCCAGTCATGCTTACATTGCTTCTGGAATAGCCTTTTTGTATCCTTTGTGTGTGTGACTTCCTAACATTCTGATGCACTGTCCCTAAGAAGCATCTCTTTGCTATGCTACAACCCAGTTTCTTTACCCGAGAGGGTGAAGAGTGTTATTTTATTGTTTGCATTTTTGAATGTCAATTTATTTCTTTCATTTAAAATTTACTTATGAAGATCTGATCTCCAGTTGTATTTGAGTCATTTTTCTATAATAGCAAAGGTAGCAAGCAGGATCAGGAAATGGAATAGCACTCAAGGGGAATGATTGCAAAAGGTTATTAAGTCTTTTGAATCCTGACTAATTTTAACTGTTCTCTAATTGAGTTACACAGCTTCTGAGATGAGCATAGTTTCTTCAAATCCTGTGCCAGGTGGGCCCTCCCCAGCTTAACTAGGTCATTTTTGTTGAACTTAAGCTCCTTAATTATAATTGATAATTATAATTGAATGAAAATTCAGCAGATATCTGCTGAGCTTCTTCTATGTAAAAGGCATTTTATCAGATGCTTCCTAGAAATTTATACTCACAGAGAGGTATGTGATTGCCACTTCGATTGGGCATTTTTGTTTTGTTTTTTTTTCCATTTTATTTTTCAGTCAGCAAGCATTTATTTTCTCTCCCTCCCACCCACATTCTCCCATTGAGAAAGGAAAAAAAGAAAGAAAAACATTCTAACAATTATGCATAAGCAAGCAAAAGAAATTATTAGGCATATTTGTGATATAAATTTGAGATCCTAGTTGAGACAGTCACCTGTCTAGTAGTGGTGATGAGAACTCTCTAGTAGTTTCTTTCTGGGAAACTATGAGTTCCTTCCTCTACTACAGCCCCTCTGTGATGCTTCATCATGGCATAGAAGTAGCATCAAGTTCTGGGGGGCTTCGTTAGCAGATTCCGGCACGTCCCACTCAGCTGGAATGGTGTCTTGTATGGGTATGCTGATGGATTATATGCCTGATGAAGTTAACTATCAAAATGTTGGCTGTTAAGTGATAACTATTTGAAGCCAAATAAATTCTTAAAGACTACTAAAGCACAGAAGGTTTTGTTTCAGATTTTCATTCCACACCAAAAGGATCACGAGATCCTCGAAATATTGAACGAATTCAGCCCATTCAAATCTAACTTGTTTCCTACAGTCTTCCCTGCCCTTGAAATCAGGATCATTTTACTTGGCTCAGATTGAGAAGCCTCTTGAGAATAGAATAGTGGTCTTATTGCATCACATTCAGTTGCTTCTAAAGACTTATTTGATGTTCATGGTCGTGATGTTCATCTATCTTCATTCTCACTCTCTTCCAGGAAGCTATGTGTATCTTTTGACTGAAGCTCAAAGGCTTGTTACATGACAACTTCTCCCAAGATGTTTTATGGATCTCCTTCTACCATGTCCCCACCTAGCAAGAGCAAACTAAAGCGTCAGAGTCGCCTGCTGTCCCACATGCTGTCCCGAACGCTGAGCCACAAGGACCGAGGCTCTGATTCAGCTTTTCCCAGCTTGGGTGCCAGTGATGACCCTGCAGAGCTTTCCACACAACTTTCTGCCCCAGGTGTCCTAAAGGTGTTTGGGGACAATGTCTGTACAGGTGCCCACTACAAGAGTGTCCTGGCCACAGCTAGCTCTAGTGCCCAGGAGCTGGTAAAGGAGGCTCTGGAGCGTTATGCTTTGAATGCAGTGTCAGCCAGCCAATATGTGTTATGTGATGTGGTAGGGCGATTTGGGGACTTAGGACAGCAGTGGCAGGCAGAATGCCTTCGGGTCCTACGGGATAATGAGAAGCCCCTTTTGATCCAGGACCTGTGGAAGCCCCGAGAAGGCTTCTCTCGGAGGTTTGAGTTGAGAAAAAGATCAGAGGTGGAAGAATTGGCTGCCAGGGATGTGGACACCGTCACAGCAGGTGAGAAGGATGGGAGAATACAGAAAGGCCATATGGCTGAGTCCTTGGGGGTTGAGTGTGGGGGTGGTCTAGCATAGAGAAAGGGAGAAAGAACAAGGAGGTTTCTACTCTCTCAGGAGCCAGGTATACTTAAACAAAAAGGTCATTTTTTAGGTGTTTTGTATTCTTTGCTCCTCTAAAGTTCGACTCCAGTACCTTGTCTTGATATGGAGGTGACTGTACATTTTCGAAAGCTGTGTCAGGAGAGTGCTGGCTTTGCTTCATTCTGTTAAGCTAGGAGGGCTCTAAGTGTGCTCTCAGTGATTCCCTATATCTGGTCTGAAGGAGAGCCTGGTTAAGTTTGGGGTGGGTTATCACCAGAAAGTTGGTCACAAGATGGTGAACTTTTTTGATCATAGCAACCTACAAACATCTGCTTCAGTTTAGAGAGGTTAGGGATTTGTGTGGATGGAGGAGTACTTGTGGTAATGAAAGTACAGGTTTGTGGAAGTTTGAAGGAAAAAGGTGTTACCTCCAAAGGAATCAGCAGTTTTTTTTGTGGGATATGAAAATTTCCTACTACTTTTCTTGTGTGTGGGGAACTCCTCTAAGTTTATTTTACCACATAGTGAATGCTGATGCTTTACTTATTCTAATGTTCTTTTGCATTTAATCTGTTAATCACATCCTTAAGTGCAGCTGTTTGGATGTTCTTTTTCTTGACTGCTTTTCCTCTATTGGTTTGGCTCTGTCTTCTTTCTTGTCAGCATTTAAGCTTCCATTTCTTCTGGTTTCTTCCAGCTTGAGTTCACAAAAACAGATTTCATGAAATTGTCTTGGATCATTGTATTACTGAGAAGAGCTAAGCCATTCACAGTTCTTCATCATAAAGTATTGCTGTCACTGTGTATAATGTTCTCTTGGTTCTATTCATTTCACCTTTCATCAGTTCATTTAAGTCTTTCCAGGTTTTTCTGAAATCATCCTGCTTGTCAGTTCCATTATGACCACACACCACAGCCATTCCCCAATCGATGAGCATCCCTTCGATACCAATTCTTAGCCCCCACAAAAAGAGCTGCTATAAATATTTTTGTACAGACAGGTCCTTTTCACTTTTTCTAGATGTCTTTGGGATATAGACCTAATAGTGGTATTGATGGATAAAAGGGTATGCACGGTTTTATATTAGGGCATAATTCCAAATTGCTCTGTGGAATAGTTGGGTAAGTTCACAGTTCACACAAACAGTGCATTAATGTACTGGTTTTCCTACATCCCTCCATTGTTGGTCATTATACTCTGTTTAAAAAATCTTCATATACATGAAAAGCTAATTATATGTATCGTTTAATTATTCTGTGTGTATATGTAGAGTTGATATTCCTTCCTAACTGTACACTTTGGATAGGATTTGAGCACCTTTGTTACTTGCTATTATCCAGTTTTGAAGTGTCTACTAATGAGGTCGAAAGACAAATGGAGAAATTATGTTATAATTGATGCCATGGAGTCTAAGATATTTAAGTTGTCTGGCACCTTGTTTTGTTATCTTTGATACCACTACCACACTGGGCTGTGGTCAGATTTAATCCTTTGATAATTGGATAGCAAAGATAATATGGCTATAAGTTTTCATACCACATACCGGTTTGCAGAGGACAAGAAAACAAGGTGTCTGCTTAGTCTGTGGTCGCATACCTAGGCAGAAAGCACCAGATTTGCCTGATTCTGAGCATTATTTTTCTATGCGATCCAAACCCAGCTTTCTACATAGATTAAATATAGCTGTTAGGAAAGCGTGCTTTGTTCTTGAAGAGCTCATTTTGCTGGAATAGGTCAATACTACAGGTGCTGGAAGGATTATGATAGAAAATTAGAGGTAACTTTATATCCTCTAACTCATTTCATCGTGGACCAGGCTGTTAGAAAGAAATGCTCCATAGCTTGTTTACCTTGGCTGTAGTTTTTCCAGGGTGATTGGGTAAATTGATAATAAAATTTCCCAATCTTGCTGATAAGTCAGTATGGTGTCAGAAAACAGTGTTGCCTCAAAGGCAGTAGAGCTAGCTATTTATACTCTATCTTTGAGTAGTTATAAAATACTTTTGTACATTTGCAAATTGTAGGATGATTTCAATAAAATGATCTTCTCTGACCAATACGTATCTGAAGAAAAGGCTCTGGGGACACAGAGAATTAATTGGCTTGTTCAAGAAATGTCACATAGCAAGTCAGTGGCAGAGATAGGATTTAAACCCCAAACCAAATTCCTATTTAAGCTAACATCCCACATCTAGACTCTTTGTGGACATTTGTAAAAATAAATACACAAAGATGGATGAGCTCCTGGGTTGGCTTACTGTAAGCTATTAGGTTAACCTGGAATGATTTTTTACAGATTTTGTAATGACTTACCTAAAAATTACTCACCTGTAGGACATTTTCCACAGATTAAATAGTTCATTACCTTTTACAAGGGAATTCATATTACATACCACTTTTCATCAATGCAAAGTTGTATTTAGTGACAATATTGCTAAAAAACATATTCCAGGTTGTAATAGCTAGTGTCAGAGTGTAATAAGTGCCTGGATTCTCCTTAATGAATTAGAAAATGAAAAGGAGTATGCTAAACTGAGAGGGAAGAAGGCGTTATTCACTTCACATTCCCTTATTCTTTTCTGTCTGAATTTCTGGATCTTTGTATGTGGTGTTTGATGTTAGGGAGCTGTTAAGTAGCAGAATTGGTTTTGGTGGGGGTGGTTGGAATGTTTTGATGGGCAAGATAGGACTAGTTGATATATACATGAATATTAGTTCTGGTCCTGCCACTAACTGAGTGACTTTGGATAAATTACCTAACTTTCTTACGCTTTACTTTCCCCATCTGTAAAATGTGTATGATAATATCTGCCTTACTTTCCTCAGAAGGTTATAAGAATCTAATGAAATGAATGATAGTACCTTGTAAAAGGTCTGGGTAAATTTAAGGATTTATTGAAAGGTAATTTCTGCATGAGAGGCATTATGAAATAGTGGGTTAACAAACTACCTTCTGTCTTGTCATTGAGCTAGACCAGAGGTTCCCCAACTTAGTTGGCCTACTAACAAATTACTCAGTGCCCACCTGGAAATCTACTTTCTTTGAGACTTTAATGGTTTTTTAAAAAAATTTGTATCATTTCAAAAAATATATATAATTTTTTAAAAAAAATGATGCATCTTAAGTTTAATAATGTATTGTAAATTTGTGGGTTTTTTCCTGCATTGAAATTCTAGTATCATATTATAAACAAGTAAACACGCATATGTTCCTGCTGATGCATGCTGGACTTCCTGAAAATATGCAACAAGACACGTTTGCCTGCCAACACTTTCTTGTCAAGACCTGTCAGCAGACTTGACCATCAAGTGGTTATAACTTGTATTTTGTGTATTTATTTGGAAAATAATGTAATCACTACGACTTTAACTCTGTTACACAACAGATGAAATATGTACAAATGATTTTTCAAAAATTTCTTCTCTCTTCTTTCCTTATGCTTAAGTGGTATGCTATACCACTCCCTTACTTTTATTCAGTGTCCCCCAGTTGCACCCAAGGTTACTACTGCCCCACCTTGGATCCTTCCAGTGCCCCCCCAAAGGGCAGTATCATCTATTTTGGGAACCTATTGCTGATGTGCTAGCTGGTGCTAGAGATATAAAAACAAAATTGAAAATTTTGCACTCAGGGAACTTATATTCATTCTATTGTGAGAGAGCTGCTAATTTAAATAGGAAATTCAGGTCTGGATTTTAACCCAATCCCTGCCACTGCCTTGCTGTGTAACATTTCTTGAACAAATCCCTTAACTCTCTGTTTTCAGAGCCTTTTCTCTACCTAAGTGTGTAAGTAAATATTTTGTAAAAGTATATACAAAATTTTTGTAGTTAATATTTTTTGGAGGTGTGGGAAGGCACTAAATGCTGAGAGAGACCAGGAAAGGCCTTGTGTATAAAGTATTGATGGAGCTGAACTTTGGAGGAAATGAAGGATTTTAAAATGTGGAAGTGAGGAAGGGATGGATTCAAGGCATGGGAGACAGCCTTTGCAAAAGTAGCTAGTTGAAAGAGTGTCATGTGTGAGAACAGCAAGAAGTTTGCTTGGATTGTAGAGTGTGTGAAGAGGAGCAATGTAAATAAGGCTGAAAAGGCAGGTTAGAATGGGGTTGTGCAGGGCTTTAGATACTGAACAGAAGGGTTTATATTTTATCCTAGCAGAGCCACTAGAGTTAATAAGTAAGGGAACAATATAGTTAGACCTGTGTCTTAGGAATATCAGGTTGTGGTGGTGGTTGTTTTGGAGTGTTTATAGCATTCGATGTTGTGTTTTTTTAATTCTGAACGTAAACACTGAATAAAATGAGCATTTCTGTATACAAAGAACAAAAAAAAAGATACGAAATTGCAAATCTCTATAATGTACAGCTTGCTTTTCCTTTTAAGTATATGGTAAAATGAAACTGTAACTGCCAAAGCTGTCCTGTTTGTATTTCCTTCTGGCTTTCTTTCTATTCTCTACTATGCTTTTAAAAAAATACTTCAGTGACCTCATTTTCTTTTTCTTTCCTTTTTTTTTTGACAGTTCTGTTGCAACCCCTTTTATACTTGTGAAATATAGACTGTATTCATAGTCAAAACAAATTCCCACAGTAGTCACATCCAGAAATGTATGCCTTATTCTGTACCTTGAGTCTATTACCTCTTTATTAGGAGGTGGTTGGGTACTTCATCATTAGTTCTCTGGAATCGTGGTTGGTCATTACATTGATCGAAGTTCTTAAGTCTTTCAAAGTTCATTTTTTTTACAAAACTGTCATTGTTGCTGTTGTTGTATAAATTGTTCTCCTAGTTCTCATTTCACTCTGCATCGGTTCATACAAATCTTCTGAGGTTTCTCTGAAACTGCCCATTTTGTCAGGTACATTTATCATTGCCTATGGGGTAACAGTATTCGCATAGTATAATTTATTTGA